GAATGAAAACTTTTTTTTTGTCTAAAATGGGGTAATAAAAACATGAAAGGCTGACTCACATACCTTCACGAGTGTGTTCACACTCAACATGAGAGACCAAGCTACTGTCCCCACTAGATAGATTTTTCTGCTTTGGCGCGGTGGAGGGGGGGTGGGGGTGGTGGCGGCGCTGGGGAGGAGGGGACGGGAAAGGTGCTGGTACAATTGTACTTTTTTCTTTTTTCCTCACATCACCTCAACTTCTTTTGTACTATCTGATGCAGTATCCCCAGGACTAGGGGTAACCCCTAACTAAGAAACTAACTGTACCTTCAAAGCTTTGTATCAGTATTGCTAAGAGTTTGATGGGGAGGGTTGTGCCTTCACCCCATATGGCAAATTGGGGCTGGCAGTGAATGCAGCTATACTGCTCAGTGGTCGGGACAACCCAGCAGTTCTGCACCGGTAACCTGACCCACAGGAACAGAGTGCCCTGGGCGGGGGCAGTCCAGACCAGCACAGTGGCTGAACCTAACACCCCTGCCAAAATTGGAAAAGTTAGGGCAAAATGGAGAGGAGGGGGATGGTAGCTGAGGGTAAAGGCATGAAAGGTTTATGTAACCAGAGAAATTACATCCGTACCTTGAGAGATGCTCAGAGTAAGATGTTCCTGTCCCTTAGCCCAGTTACACCAGACGCCTGGGAGGGTGAGACCTCACCTGCTTTTGGAACCTAAAAGAACTGAACAGAAGTCTGTAAACCTAATCGGCATCACTCTGGGAGACATTTCAGTCATGCAGTATGATGATGCACGAGGGCATGACACTGGCCTTGTTATAATGCTGATCTTGAGAGTCAAATGTATTGGGAAATCGAGTTAAAGCCTCCTCAGGAAATAAAACAGAAGGAAAATGACTGGCGTGAGGAAGAACTGTGTTTACCTAACCATCAGCTAATTTCTGTGCTAAATAGTTCTACGCACATTTATCAGAAAGTACAAGGGAGGCAATGAATAATTAATTTAGTACAAAAATATGAAAGTGTATGAAAGGCTTTATAGGATGGATTCATTGTTTCTTTAAATTTACCCCGACTCCCAACACTGGCCCCTCTAAATGTTAGCCAATTTTATCGTTTGCTTTAAGATTCTTGGCCAAAGGTGGGGATAGGGGAGGTGGGAGAAGTGGGGCGGTTGAGAGGGCTGGTGGCCTGTATCCTAAAGAATTTAACTTTGCCCCAGAAGAGGTCTGGCCTTTGCCCTCAGCTCCTGGGATATGATCTTAGTCAGCCTTTAGCTGGCCAGAGAGTAACAATGTGATTTAGGGTGGGGGCTGGTCACACAGAAAGACCAACGAGGCAACTTAGGGTGGGCTTTGGGTCACATGCTATAAGTCACCTGGAGACTGAGCTCAGCCACATGGGTGATCGATCAATGAATCATCACACCTACATAACAGGGCCCCCAAACTGAATACCGAGGCTCAGATTAGCCTCCCTGGTTGGCAATACTCTGTGTGTTGTCACATCTTGATACTGAGAAAGTAACTTGTCCTGACTGCATGGGGAGAGGGAGCAGAAGTCCCACATCTCATACTTCCCCAGCTTCATGAGCTTTTTCCCTTGGCCAATCTTAATCTCTGTTCTTTCTCTATAATAAACTGTATAATACAGTATATAGAGTGAGCATAATAGCTGTGAGTGGATTCTTTGAGTCCTAGCAAATCATCATTCCTAACAGTGGTTTTGTGAATCCCCCGAACTGGCCGTTGGTGTCAGAAGTGACAGTAGTCTTGTGTAGACTGTTTCCTCTAACTGTAGAATTGGCTAAATTCCTCACAAAGCTCAAGAGGAATCCAAATGATAAGCCCCTTGCTCAAACTGCCAGGCAGGCAAGGATTTGCACTCTTAGGAAAATAAATAAATAATTAAAAACAATAAAAATATACTTTGATGTAATTATACTCCATTATATTTTTCCTCACTTTTAAATTCTAGAATCAAAAATTACAAGAATGAGAAGAAGCAAGGATATGTGCTTTATTATCAAGAGAAAACACACTCAATAGAAGTCCCACAAAAAGCCCAGTTTTTGGAATATGTTATAAATATATAAATATTACAAATATATAACATAAATATTATAAACATAATAAAATACAATATAAACATTTATAATTTATTATAAATAAAATATATAACACAAATGCTATAATATACTATTATAAATATAAAAAATGGGAAAAGAACAATAATTGGAATATAGAAGAGTGTTAACCTAAAAATAAAAGGCCAAAATAAGAGGCAATATGTGTTTATTTGGGATCCAAAAGAACATTTTCATCTTAAGAATCTAGGAACAAAGGAGCAAGTTAAATCGGAAATCAGTTTTTTGAAAAGATTAATAAAGTTGAAAACTGCTAATTAGATTTATCAAGGAGAGAGAGAGAAAAATTGAAAAAGAGGTACCACCTGTACCAGGAATCGACATGTGGACATACTATAGGTCCTACTGAGGCCCTGGTGCCCCCTACCTCCACCTCCAGGATAACTGGGACTGTAAGCCACTTCTGAGACAGTCTAGCCAGACCTCAAGGCCCAGTTCCCTGCAATTTCAATGAGGGCCTCCCGGCTCCCTGATTCCCTTCATCACTGTGCTGTGCTACCCCTGACAGCCTGGGGATGGCATTCCAGCAGCCCCAAGTTGAGGGTCTGCTGATTTGCTACACCAGCAGCCTCTTGTGGGCATGGAGACTCAGGCCCACCAAGCTTCCCCTATTTCTCAGCATTGGTTTCCTCTGTCGCTGTGGTCATAGTCAGGTGGAAGAGGCTGACCCTAAGGGACACAGGAACACTGCTGTTTTCCAAAGGATGACCTGGGAACCTCCTGGAGACAGTGACATTTTAGTCAAGCTGGCAGAGGCAAGGAGATAGGCAAGGGCATGGCATGGCACCTGGCATGGCAGGAGGAGAGGCACGGTCCAGCTTGAACTTTGTCCTGAGGGCCAGGGTAGCCAGTGGGGCTTTCAGCAGGTGCTTGGCCTGGCTAGCTCCATCCTACACCTCCCCCTCCCCCGCACAAGGCCAGGCCACCTGGGTCCCAGATGTCTGATCAGTGGGCTTGTGCCCACACTGTGTGGGTGCTGAAATAAAATTGGAAATTCATTAACAAGCCTTGTGACTCCTTTCTTTAGACATAAGTAATTGCGGGTGGGGGTCTGGGGAACCCATCAACCTGTTCTGGCCCTGCCAGCCTCTCCAGCATCAGCCTGTACCTGGTCTTGCTCTCTCTATGCTAGCCACGGTGGCCACCTTGCAGTCTGCATACATTCCTTTCAGCCTCAGGGCCTATGCACCTGCTGTTCCTGTGTCTGGAATCCTCTTACATCCCTTATACATAGATAACACCTATTCATCCATTTCTCTAGAAAAACCTTCTCTAACCTCCCTGATTAGGTCAATGCTAATTAGGATGTGCCCTCTCGATGTCTTTTCCTGTGAGGACCTGTCAAAGCTGCAACTCTATTGTGTGATTACTATGTCCATCTCTCACCTGCTCCTTCGTGAGCTCTGCAAAGAAGGAACCCTTTCTGGTTTTGCCCATCGTCCTACTCTCCAGCCCCCAGCACAGTGCCTGGGGGCCAGTCCTGCTCAGCGACTATCGGGTGAATGAATGGCTCAGTTCTTGGCATGTCAGTGATTCCTCTGGGAGTGACTCTTAGAAAAACTCCGCGGTTTTCTTCCAAGGAACTGAGGACTCACTGCCATGTGTCACGTGTTCATAAAGAATCTGGTCTCTCCTGTTCCCTCGCTCCATTGCGGGGTCACAGACTTGTCCCCGCTTAGCAGCAATGCTCCACCCTATAACACCTGCCTTCACCCTTAGACTGTCACCATGGCGGCAGGTATGGCTGCACCTGCCACTGCTGCCTCCAGAAGTCACTGCAGCTACTCCTTCGGAGGCTAGGAAGTTACTTGGGGCTCTGTGGGAGTTGGAAGCCTGCGTGTAGTGGCCTGGGCAGTAGAAACCAGCAGTTCCTACCTACTGGGTACGAACAGGTGTGGCCTTTGATCCATCAGCATCGCTGTCGCTGGGCTTCCCAATCTTACAGGACGGAAGTCACTTCTCGAGTCACAGAGCTGAGAAGCAGCGGTGACAGGAGAGGAACCGGAACCCAGGACTCACTAGAGAGCCATTTCGTGTGCTTCCAGAGTATGGCCGGCCTCGGGAAGTCGGTAGCCTACTAACCTTTCATAGCGACAGTAGCTTCCCTGCAGGTGGTAAGAAGGAGGAGCCAGGAGACCATTCCTATTCGCCACAAAAGGAAGCAGAAGCCCGGCGGGGCCCACAGGGAAGATGGCCAGCAGGCCGAAGCACAGACCCCGGAGCGCGAAGTGAGACCCGCGACCCCTCCTCCGGCGCCTGCGCATTGCGGCCTGGTTCCCCGCTCAGCCCCGCCCCCACCGCCGGGTTTTCAAATTTGAAACCTGCTCCTTTTCCCGCCCGAACGTGTTGACCAGCGGCGGGAGAGGGTGGGGCCGCGCATAGCCAATAGCGCTTCAGAGGCTCCTCTGTCCCGCCCCGAAGGTGACGCCCGCGAGCCTCCGGAGACAACCCGCAAATGGGCTAGGGCGCCCGCCTGCCCCGCCTCCGCAGCGCCCATGTGCAGCAGCCTAACCGGGGGCATTCCGGGGACCACGACCCATAGAGCACGATTCCCTATGCGGGGCCATTGCCATCAGCACGAGCTGGAAACTGAGGCCCAGGGACTCCAAGTAGCCGGCGCGTAGTTGCTGAGCAAAGCGGGCGAGACGCATCACTCCCGAGCTTGGGGGTTCGCCCAAAGCCAGACTTGGAGCTGGCGCCCGTGGCGGCCCCGCGGAAGTCCGAGGGGGCGGGCTGCTCGCGGGGTGGGGGGGTGGGC